AGTCCCCTCCGAGCCCCACTGCCCCCCGGTGGAAATGTCAAGAGGCGTCGCTGCAAGGGGGAGGTTAGCCCGGCCCCCCGGCCCGGCCGGCGCCTCCCACCTCCTCCAACCAGGCCACTGCCGTGGCGGGCGCGGTGACCCGCACAGCGCAAGCGATGCTAGCGAGCAGGGCGGCCCCCCCGAGCTGTCTTACATTGTCACGAATCTGCAGCCCCGCGAAGGGCAGGGCGCCGCGCGGGCGAGCAGGGGCGCGAGGAGCTCCAAAGGTCGCCCCCCCCCCTTATCTCCTTCCTCGGCTCGTTGAGGGCATCGCATACACACTTAACCCTTTATATGCATGGTGTTGGGCATCAAACATCATAAAAATAGAACACATCTTTGTTGGCTTCCAATAATTCGGTATGTGACTGCACTGCACAACAAATCACATAAAGGGTTTAGTTTAGTGTGTCATGCAGATTGCTACTATAGCTCGCGAATCGCCGGACACCCGCGGAAACGGATATAACGAGACCAAAGAAATGACGTTTGCATTTGCGTTTGTGGATTTAGCCTGACTATGCCACAGACTATTTACCGACCGAAGGTGAAAAGAATACCACCTCCTAGTTCAAATGGCATTACCCACAGATTCTGCAGTCACATCAGTGGTGGTCAAGCACACCTTCCAAGCCATCTCAGTGCATGCCAACCACCAGGCTAGAACCGGAAGTTCGCATCCAGGGAGGGAAGAGGACCCAAGCGCCACCCTTCGCTGCTATAGCCACACCAAACAGCAGGGGGCGCGCGCCACGCCCGAAAATAAAAGGATGTTTTATGTGACCCACATTCCTGTGGACTGGCGGGCTGCATTTGAGCCGCTCGCCGCACTAAAGGCACTGCTGCTGCTGTTAGTTGCACGGCCCGCACGGCGGAAGGCAGAGGCCCCGCGCCGCCGCCGGGCCGGCCGGCGTTTGGGCGCGGCAGGGAGCATTCCGAGCATCCCCCCCCCCCTCCCCGCACACACAGTCAACTAGAGTGAGGAAATAGTCCCGCGAAACACAACAATCCAGAGACCGAACTGCACTTATTGCATCCTAGCTCCTAGGTGTTGCTTCCTCTCCCAGCCTGTCGTGCACCCGCACGCATGAATGTTCGACCGACACTGATGCGAGGAGTAGCAGGCCTCATGAAGCACAGTCGAGAGGGTGCCCAAGTGTGGTAATTAGGTGTACACAGATGCTGGTAATCACCGGGAGGATGGTGACCGCCCTTGGTAATCATCAGTATTTGATAATCTGGTGTACACATTTTTATCGAGTCGAGGCACATTGCAACGGCGGGGGTTGGTGTGCCCAGCCCATCAGCCACATCGAGTACGCCGAACGACGTTTCAGTGTACTTCGGCTAATGAATGAAGAGAAACTGCGGGCAGAACATAAAGATTCCTGATTGTTTGTGCCTTACCTCCGCTATCAATGAGACGAAGGCTTGGTGGCGGGAAACTCGACCATTCAGGAAGGACGGTTCACGTTCTACCCACTATAAAGCATTCCGGTAAAGCTTAAATGCAGAAGAATGCAGGGAACAAGAAAACGGAAGTCACATGTAAAAGCGTAGTGATTTCCTTTTTCTTCTTCCCCTCATTCTTCTGCATTTTAGCTTTACCGGAATGCTTTATTCTTCATTATCCATTCAGCCGGCCTATCGCTAAGAGGGACTTGCCTACACTGAAATATACACTATACCTAGAGACACTGTCACGTTTGGAGGTTAGGGTTGACAGACAAATGACAACTGTATGAGAGGACAGGTGGTGGGAGTGTGTGTTTACAGGAAGGTGTAGGGGATGGGGGGGGGGGGGTGTCAGTGGCGATGAAGAGAGAAAGAGGGCCGAGAGAGAGATCATACAAATCCACCGGCGTGTGCGAGGCGCCGGCACGCAGACGTGTCGCAGGACCCGACCCGCCGCCGCCGCCGCCCCTCTTTGTGTTTCTCACGTGACCGTGTGAAACGGGAGAGCGGCGCCAACTCAGCGCGGCGACCTTTAGGTTGACAGGTCGGGTACGCGCACCCCGAGCCTACACCCCCCAGACGAGTGTCAAATACGTAACAAAAGAGAGGCAGATGCCGATGGTTATGACCCTGCCTCACGACACCGCGATGTTGGGCTCCACCTTCAGCACGAGGGAGTGCTGCTTCTTGCGTCTCTCATGGTGACGCCGGCTCAGCCGACTCGTGCATTTATTTACCTCTCGGGGGCCACGGCACGTCGGTGGCACACTCGTCACGAGCCGGACACGTGACACGTCACTTTGCAGTGACGACACACACACACACCCGTCACCCCCGTCGTGTGACGTACGGCACGCCAGACGCACGCTGTCCGGAGAGGGGCGGGCACGCCGCGGCGAGCAGAGCGGGAGCGAAAGATGTGAGTGTTGCGAGCGCGTTCTGTCCCGTGCGACCCGGGCGCTGCCTCAGCCGACACTGCGCGCCGCGCGCCGCTCCGCCCCGCCACGCACCGCCACTCCTCTCCCTCCCTCTCTCTCTCTCTTTCGCTCTCGCTCCGTCTCGCCTCTCCACCCTTCTCCCTCTGCTGGGCGCGGTCGGCCGGGTACCGCCGGCCGGGCCAGACTCAGGGTGGTTCTGTGTGGGGCTGGCGGGCGCGTGCCCCTGGCGTGCCGCGCCTGCAGGCGGCGTGTCTGGCACCGTGCCCGCGCGGCCCGCACGCGGGCGGCGGCCGTTGGGCTGCCTACCTTCCGGGCGGGTGATAGCGGAGTCCGCGAGAGTTGCATTAGGGTATTTCGCTGAATCGAATCGAAAAGGAAGTGACACAGGGGAGCCGGAGACACTGGTACGCATTTGTTTTGGCGAGGAGTCACGATTTCTCTGCTTACATGTAAACATTCGTAAAATGCAAATTTACGGAAACAACACAATTTTTACCACACGAAACTTGTATTCCATAACAAGAACGGCAGCATCAAACGGTATTTTGGGCTGGGTCTGCTGGTTTCTGATCCGTTTTGTTCCTCTTTGCATCTTCAATCCATTTTCCTTTCAGCAAAATAATCGTTTACAAACTGATAGGAAAATTGACAAATACACATCATGCAAAAGCGACGCTTTTTTTGTGTTACCATACAATAGGGTTATATTGTAATGTCTATTGTAATGTCTATATTTACATTTTTTTATTATTCA